GCCTCCTGTTTTGCCCTATCTCCGGATTTTAGACTTTGGAGACCAAAGTCATTTAGGCTTTTTCTTCTGGCTTCTTGCTGGGAGCCCTCCCCTCTGGCCCAGAGCAGAAGGAATGAGCGAGGTTGGAGGGAGAAACCTTCACAGCCTCCATCCCTGATTACTCTACTGCCTGGGAGCCGGTGCAGCGCTGGTCATGGTCGCTCTGTATCAGGTCCTCCAGTATGTTATGTTACGTTATTTTTTTTTTAAAGACTTTATTTATTTATTTACTTGTTGTTGTTGTTGCAGTTTGGCTGGGGCCGGGTTCGAACCCACCCCCCTCGGTATACGGGGCCGGCACCCTACTCACTGAGCCACAGGCGCCTCCAGGTCCTCCTAGTATGAAAAAGACCCGCAACGCCCACCTCCCTAGCTCAGCGCGCGGCTGTTGGAAAAGGCTGCACCCCTGGTCCCTCGCAGCCCTCCTGCTTCTCAGTCTTGCCTTGAAATTCCTGTTGCGGGTCCGCCCTGCGTCCCATCCACCCCGCCTCTAAAGCAAAGGTCGGGGGGTCCTCTGCCTGCCCCAGACTTGGGGCCCTTCTGGGTGCTCGGTCCTGGAGCAGCGCCCCCTGCCTAGAGGTCTCCGGCCCCCACCCTCCTCCAGGGGGCGCGGCTCCCAGCGCCCGGTCACTTTTACACCTGCTGGCAAGCTGACAGCCCTAGGGGGGCTCCCAGGAAACTGTTCTCTCCGCTTCTGCTATATCCTGGAGCTTGGCATTCACTGGAAACCGTGATAAGGTAAAGTAGATGGTCCCCCAGGTGTTTAGCCTGCCAAAGAAGGCTGTGGGTTAAGAACAAAATCTTTTAAGTCACTGTTCATGGTGAGCAATTTCTTTAAGACGATTCTAGAAAAAAAAGTTACAAGCCATTTTTTTTCATTCAAAGTAAAAATTATTTTATTGACCCCCATGGGGGAATATATATATACATTTTTCTTACAGCTCAGATTATCCACTATACTGAATAGAAGAATGTTGATAAGAAATGAAGACTGCACGACCTTTTTTTTTTTTTTGCCATTAGCTTATTAATAAAAATGTGTATTTTGGCTCGGCACCCATAGCTCAGTGCTTAGGGAGCTGGCCCCATACACCGGGGCTGGCAGGTTCCAACCCAAGCCGGGCCTGCTAAACAACAATGACAACTGCAACAAAAAAATAGCTGGTGTTGTGGTGGGCACCTGTAGTTCCAGCTACTTGGGAGGCTGAGGCAAGAGAATCGCTTAAGCCCAAGAGTTTGAGGTTGCTGTGAGCTGTGATGCCATAGTGCTCTACGGAGGGTGACATAATGACACTCTGTCCCCTCCCCCCCAAAAGGTATATTTGTTAATATGGTAGCAATATCAAGGCATCTTTCAAATTTTTACTCAAAACAATAACAAGGTTCCATATAACATAGGTTCATCATAGGTTCCATATAACAAATTGGTACTGGCAGGATGTTTTTATTGATTTTTGCAGAATTCTTGTGTCCCTAGTCAATCTGTGGTTGAAACTGACAAATGAGTGTAGCATGACATGAATGTTAGTTGACGTTTTTGTTTTCTTTAACAAGAAAGACGAAGATGAAATGATTAATACAGTTTTTTCATTCCTCATTATGAAGCAACTTCTTTCCAGACCTGGATAATAGCTTTGAAACACTGAGAAAAAAAGATTTCCTCAAGTTTTTGTGCTATTTACAATTCAATAGGAATATACCTCTGCTAACTTTAATCTGCATTAACATATTCTCCACCACTTTGTTAAGGGTAGACAATTAACAAAACACTAAACCAGGGAGACAAATCATTCACTGCTTTCTACAGTGTAAATCTTCAAGGTACCAACCAGACATCGGGGAATATGAAGTTGGGAGGCACACAGGTGAACAGCCCTGAGCAGGCATGCTAGACATTTGGAACTTCAAGAACAGATAAAAGGAAAATACCATGAAATAATTAGGTAGTGATAAGTTGTGACTATATTTGTTTTCTCTTTCTGTAGAAGTAATTATAAGCTTCTGTGATTAATTTTTAATAATGGCTGTGTTTAACAAGTGGTTCACGAAATTCCTGAAAATTTAACAGTTGGCATTCATAAGCCAGTGACAGCAGCTCCAGCATGCCACTGCCGGGTTCCAGCAACTCTGGCTTCCCCAGTGAGAGGCACTGGCAGGAGAAGGGAGAGCGACAGGAGGAAGTGTTGGGTTTTCTTTCTCCAGCTCCCTCCTGGGATGCAATGTGCAGCTTCCATTCTTTCAGGGGCCCTTTGCCAGAATTCCAGCCTCTTCCAGGCCCAACTAACACTGTAGGGTGCTAACAGCTTCTTGGCTGCTTACTGTCACTGGTCCCTGGTGCTTCCTAATCCCATCCACCCCATCTCATTGACCAGTCCCTCCCCTTTTTGTGTTTCTCTGTTTTCTGGGCTGACCTTAACTGTTCAAACCTGCTCCTGTGGTCACAACTTCTAATACTTCTATTCCCAAATTTAAGAAACATATGTCCTTAGATATGTCACTCAACTCCTCTGAGCTTCAGTCCTGTGACATGCAGCAGAATATTATTTTGAAAGACTGGGTAATGATGTGGGGCACCCATATTTCAGTGGTTAGAGCCTCGGCTGTGCACAGGGTAGTGGGTTTGAACCTGGCTCAGGCCTGCGAGACAAACAAAAAAGAATGTATGGAAGACTAGCCGATGGTACTTTTTTCTCCTGCCATGTCCTGGTGCTTTACAATGGTTTTCATAACTGGGCAGTGTGCCCTATCACAATCATTTCCTCACGGACAGGATTTAGAACAGAAGTGAGGGACAAGTTTTGAATTTCAAAGTCAAACACCCTGAAGGGCACAGGGTAAAGAAAACCCAGTAAGTCAGAACAAGGTGTTCTTCTGGGAGGCACAGTGGTCTCTAGAAGGCTCCCCTGAACTGCAAAGCCATCCCCTGCCCAGCCAAGGAGGTGGCGGGCAAAGAACCCTTGGTAGTGTGGGGAGTTAAAGAGCTGAGAATGAATGGCTGCAGCTGAGGGCAGGCAACTGAGTCACCCCACAGTTGCCGAATGTCCCAGAGTGACCCAGGAGAGACACTGGAACTGGTAGGGCTTCCAGGCAGGTCTGGGTGATGACACTGCAGCAGCTTTGTTGCTTGGCACTTAGCAGAAAGGGAGAAGGAGTTCTCATTTGAAAGATAAGAATGGGGTCCCTAGAAGAAGAAAGGCCCACTTTTTGTCCTGCTTATGGTCGGAGACTCATGTTTGTCCCAAGGAGAGCACTGGAATCTTTCTCAAGGGCCCTTCCTGGAACCAACTTACCTTTTCATGCCATCTGTAAAATACACTGGTGGTCCTTTCATGAGGAGCGCTCTAGCCAGTAGATGACTCTCCAGAACTCTCTGAGCACTCATGTCACTACCAGCCCTGGGTCACCCCAGCCAAGAGCCAGCAAGTTTATTCCTGAGTCTCTAAATGCTACTTATACTGGTTATGTGTAACTTAAATAGTCTGGAAAACCAATGAAATGTCAAGTGTGCAAAAAATAGCTGTAGTTTCTGTGGCAATTAAATTGGGTGCTTTCTTTTCTCTTCCTTCCCCCCCTTCTTTCTTTCCTTTTTTTTTTAAATTTTTTGAGACATAGTCTCACTCTGTTGCCCTGGGTAGAGTGCAGTGACCTCATAGCTCACAGAAACCTCAAACTCTTGGGCTTGAGCAATCCTCCTGCTTCAGCCTCTTAAGTAGCTGGGACTACAGGTGTGCTCCACCATGCCCAGCTAATTTTTCTATTTTAGTAGAAATGGGGGTCTTGCTCTTGTTCAGGCTGGTCTCCTGATCAGAGGTGATCTACCTGCCTCAGCCTCCCAGAGTGCTAGGATTACAGGCGTGAGCCATTGCATCTAGCCAAATTGGGTGATTTCTTAAGGACCCATTGTTGGAAAAAGATGCGGTCACATTTAGATGATATGGAGGGACAACTATAAAAGTCTGGAGAGATCTTGGGTGTCTAGCAAGTTCTCTCGAGAGCACTTCATGGTCAAAATTTTCACTTTAAATGAAAGAAATGGATATTGGAACGTGTATGTATCCTGAGGGTAGTCTGTAAAAGATGGATAACTAGAACTCCAGGTCAACCTATATCAAGAGAAGTCCTGCCTGTATGCTGAAATACTGGCATATGTATACGTACTTAAGCTTTAAGTTAAAAAGAGATTAATGTATGCATATGACATATTATAAATGTATATAGAGGGTGCCAAAAATGTATACACACTTTAAGAGATGTTGTCCTTTTTGAAGATACTTTTTGAATTGAATGTACTATTACTGGTCAAGTAGACATGCGTCCAGACACCCGTCCATTTTACCTGCATTTACCCTTTTTGGGAGAGATCGAGTTTTACTTCTAACAAGATCTCTTAAAATGTGGAAACATTTTTTGGCCCTCCCAGTATATATCATTTTTCAACTTCCCAACCTCCAGGGCCTCGGTGAGAAGTCCCTGGTACATAACCAGTATCACAGCAACTCAGCATCTCCATGGCAGCTTCTATTTTCTTCCACGAAAGTTAGGTCATTTGGGTGCCCTAGGCACGCGTAAAGGAGCAGCAATAGGCAGCCCTTCTCCGACGCCCCTTCTCAGAGCCCGGCCCAGCGGAACTAGCCACGCGCCGGCTATGTGAGGATAGCCAGCGACCGTCTCCGCGGCCATCCGAGTTCCGGGCTGGGTGGCTTCGCGCGCGACGCCGCAGTAAGTCCGGCAGGGGGCGCTGTCCGACCAGACTGCCCGCGTTCGGCCGCGCTCTGATTGGCTGGAGGCCGTGTCCCGCGCCCACTCCGCCCGCCCCGTCCGCTAAGTGACGCGACTGGCCAGCTCCCGCCCCAGTCTGCGGGCCTCCCGGGCGGTGGCGGTGCCGGAGTGGCGCGGCTGAGGGGACAAGACCAAGGCAGGAGGGGACCAGCCAGCCAGGAGAGCCCCACACATCCAGCAAGATGCTGTCCTGGCGGCTGCAGACGGGCGCGGAGAAGGCCGAGCTGCAGGAGCTCAACGCCCGGCTCTATGAGTACGTGTGCCGGGTGCGGGAGTTGGAGCGCGAGAACCTGCTACTCGAAGAGGAGCTGCGCGGCCGGCGCGGGCAGGAGGGCTTGTGGGCCGAGTGGCAGGCCCGCTTCGCCGAGGAGGCGCGCGACTTGCGGCAGCAGCTGGACGAGCTGAGCTGGGCCACCGCGCTGGCGGAGAACGAGCGCGATGCGCTTCGACGCGAACTGCGGGAGCTGCAGCGCCTGGACGCGGAGGCGCGAGCCGCCCGCAGCCGCCTGGACAACGAGCTGAGCGCGCAGCGGCGGGAGCTGCAGGAGGCGCTCAGCGGGCGCGCCGCCCTCGAGGCGCTGCTGGGCCGGCTGCAGGCCGAGCGCCACGGCCTCGACGCGGCCCACGAGCGCGACGTGCGGGAGCTGCGCGCGCGCGCCGCCGGCCTCACCATGCACTACCGCGCCCGCGCGGCCGGCCCCGCCGAGCCTTCGCCGCGCCTGCGGGAGGTGCACGACAGCTACGCGCTGCTGGTGGCCGAGTCGTGGCGGGAGACCGTGCAGCTGTACGAGGACGAAGTGCGCGAGCTGGAGGAGGCACTGCGGCGCGGCCAGGAGGACCGACTCCGGACGGAGGAGGAGACGCGGCTGTGCGCGCAGGAGGCGGAGGCGCTGAGGCGCAAGGCTCTGGAGTTGGAGCAGCTGCGCGCGCGTCTGGAGCAGGAGCTGCTGCGGATGCGGGAAGAGTACGAGCTACAGGCGGAGGAGCGGCAGGTCCGTGCGCCAGGTCGCGCTCTTCCCTCTCCCTCCCCCAGGCACCCTAAGTGATGGGATGGGGCAGCGGCGGATTTCCCTGGGACTTGCAGTGGCTTCACCCGGGGCCCGCCCGAAAGGTCCCTGATTGGCCTGGAGCCACCTTACTCTGGGCTGCCGCAAGGTCCTGACATGTCTTCAGCTCTGGAAGAAGACCACCGTCGGATGGTCCTTACGCTCCGTGGACGAGCGCCATGCAGCAGGTCCCAGTGGATAGCTCCGTCCCTGTCACAGTGTTAGGGCGTCAGTTTCTTTAGATCTTGACTCACTGGGCGCATACTAACCAATGACCCTGTTAGCTCTCGGTTTTCTTTTAATTCCTGCGCTTCCTAGAAGTAGTAGATCGCGATCTAAAAGTCAAACATGAAAGGTCTCTGATTTCCACAAGTGACAGCCCTGTCGCCTCAGGGGAAAATTCAGGATTGCTTTCCAAAGTGGTTCTTATTTTGCCAGAATGATTTCCCAGTTGGAAACAACTGGTTGTGACTCTCTGGGCGGCTGCCATGTTTGTTCTTGGGAGGGACAGCTACCGTAATGCAGAAAAGAGCTTGATCAGAGATATTTTGCGCATAGTACAAGCTGACGTCAGATCTCTGGGTAGCGAAAACGTTGTGGGAAAGCAGGGCCCTGTGGCAGGATGTTAGAGTACACGTGCAGAGTAATGTAAACAGTTGCTGTTTTAGAGAAACAACCCCTCTGACACCAACAGGGCAACACCTGCGGCTGGTTTGTGATATGCCCAGTCCGGTCCTGTCCTGTCCTAGTGTGTTTGGCCCTGCCCTGCCCAGCCTCACTAGAATTAGAAATATTCCCCAAGTTATGCTATCATAACTTAGGAATAGTTCTCAGGAAGACAGTTGAGATAATATTTGTGCAATTTCAGAAATACTTTACGAGAACAGTTTGCAGCTGTGAGTTAAAGACTTGAGGCTGTGATTTTGTGCTTTTTGAAAGCTAGAAGTGAAGGGAGCATGGGATTATGGTATGAAATGCCTGGGTGGTGTGACAGGGATCCATAAAGAATCAGCAAAGATCTACTGATTGTCCCTCAGCCCCCAGGGAGCGGGCTAGAGTTTCAGTATTCAATAGTTAGAGACCAGATGGGAAATCATAGAAAACAATATTGCACTAAATTGTTTGGGATTTAATCTTTGGAGTTGTGAGTTTTGTTTTGCCTCTGCTGTGCTGTAGGTGGAGCAAGGACAGGGACTGATGCAGTGTGTGCTGGGGTCACTTCTCAACGACAGAGGTGGGAGGGGGGTGTTGAGTTCCACAGGGTGAAAGTGAAAGAGTCTTAATGCAGGTGTTCACAGATTTTTTAACCTATGGGTATTGCGACTCTCAAAAAAAATGTCTGCTAAACTGAACTGCCCAGGGCACTCCTTTGTAAGGAGCCTTAACTACCACCTCAAGGGCCTGTTCTGTGCAAGCGGGTTTGGAAAATGCTACTTTGAGATATGCTTTGTGAACTAAATGCTTGCCATTTGCTCAGTTGGCTCATTTCAGAGCTTGAAACTCTGGCCCCCATTTTTTTTTTTTTTTTTGCAGCAAAATCTTTTCTCCCCAACAGTGAAATTTTCAGTGGAACTCTAAATCTGAGACAGATGAAAGCACAGTTCTTCTAACTGGAGGAGAGGCAGGAACTTAGAAGTGCAGTTAGAATCACTGCCCAGATTTGTGATGCAGGGACCACGGGGAAGTACCTATTCTGAGGTCACACTTGCCCAGGGACCAGGACCTCACTCTCTTTCCTATCCAGTGATGCCCCTCTCATTGGAATTTACCTCTTTACCCCCAAAGTAAAAAACAAGAGAAATGTTAGTAAGAATTTGGATTTTTTTTTCAGCTCCAATTTGTGGAGGTTTCTTGGTACTGAATGTTGTCCATATCCTGACTCTTTCCCCAGTTAGCTTAAAGCAACAGTATTTCAAATTACATTCCAAAAGAGTCAACTAAAAAATCCAAAAATATGCTAGAAATTATGCTAATGGGTAAGTACTAATTTAACCCCAAGCTTGTAATTTTTTCAGGTTCTATAGAAGCTCACTCTGGGGCTGGGGAGACAAAAAATCCTAAGATCTGGTTTAACTGATATACCATAATAAATGTCACATTATTAAGAGTTAGTCTTTACCAAGTGTTTCATGTGTGCCAGATACCACAGATACCAAGCCCTTCACAAGCATTCATCTTGGTCTTCACATCAGTCTTAGCAGGTGGGTACTAATAATATTAGCCCCATTTTAAAGATGATAAAACTGAGGTGCACAGTCCACCTGGTTGGTAAGTAGCTAAGCCAGAATTCAGTTCAGGCTCCAGTGCCTGCAGAGCTAACCATTTGGCTACATTTCCACTTTTCTCTTTCATCAAAGAAATCTTTAACTAGTATTTTCTTCCATTTGTAGAATAATAATCGCCTTTCCTAAGGGCCAGTCCTAAAGGCACTCTCTTAACTTAAAGTCCTAAAATGCTTGTAGACCCTTCTAGCTGGCCATTGTCAGAAGAGTTGTAGCATTAAGTCTCTTTCACGTTCTACTTTCTATGTTCCATGTGGCTTAATGTTACCTGTTACCTGGAGGCAGGAGCAGGAGTTGGGTACAGTCCAGGGTGGTCCCTGTATAGTGCCCAGCCTCTCCCTGGCCACTAGCTCTTCCCAGATGGCTTCTGTGCCTTCTGCACGTGAGATGATATGTGTTGGCTTGCCCTGTGCCTTAGGTTTACCCAAGAAAAGTTTGCTGAACCGACCTCCAGGTTCCCATTGTGTCGTATGTGATTTAGATTATTTGAAGCCTGAGTAACCCAGTCTACAGGGAGGAGGTTTGGAAAACACTTGATGACATGTGATCTGTGCCAGCTTTAACACTTAGGTTTTTGCTCATTGTTTTTCAATCTTTTTCCTCTATGGCACACTTGAACCTGTAGTTAAACTTCCATGACACACTGAAATTATGTTGCTCAAAAAAAAAAAAAGTAAAGGAATATATGTACTGTGCTTTCAGCTTCTTTCAAAAATAATTTAATAATGATCTTTAAAATTTTTCGCAACTCACCTAAAATCCTCTCACACCTCATCAGTGTGCCACGCACATCGGTTGAAAATCAGTGTCTTGGCTCAGCACCTGTGGCTCAAGCGGCTAGGGCGCCAGCCACGTACACCTAAGGTGGCAGGTTGGTATCCCCAGCCCGGGCCTGCCAAACAACAATGATGGCTGCAACCAAGAGGTGGCCAGGCGCTGTGGCGGGTGCCTGTGGTCCCAGCTGCTTGGGAGGCTGAGGCAGGAGATTCGCTTGAGCCCAGGAGTTGGAGGTTGCTGTGAGCATGATGCCATGGCACTCTTATCAGGGGGATAGCTTGGGACTCCGTCTCAAAAAAAAAAAAAGAAAATCAGTGTCTTAGTTGCTGAGGCCAGCTGTTCATGAAAGGCTGCCCAAATCCAACTGCCCAAAACATGATTGAAAACTTTTCCTTAGCTTGGAAGGGGGATGGGAATAGCCATGTGGCTAATAGTACTCTGTACCTGTCCTGCCTGGGGTTGGATCCTGACTCTGCTGCTCTCTGGGCAGGAACCCTTGTGCAACCCAGTTTCCCCATTTGTGAAATGGGAATAGTGAAAGTAGCTCACAGGTTTCATTTGTCTAATAGCTATTGAGGGATTAGTGTGCTGAGCTTGGTTCTTAACTGGAGAAATAGCAAGTAAAAATTACCAGACAAAATAGAGAAAATCCCTTTACCTCAAAGACCTCGAGTGGAAACAGTGGTGCTGGGGGTTGGGGGGTGTTGGCAGCCAGGATGCTGTTGTGGCTGGGGTCCTGTGAGGGAGGAGGAGAGTGGCCACCACAGGACTTGGGCTTTTGCTCTAGCACTGTAGGAAGCCGCTAGGCGGGTTCTGGACAGAGAGGAGTTGGGACCTGTAGTCTTAGTGGGAATTGCTCTTGATGCCATGTTGAAAACAGTATTTTGGGCAGGGTGGGGCCAGGGAGACCTTTTTGAGAGACTACGTGATTATTCAGGCTGGAAGTGCTGGGCGCTTGGACCAGGAGTGGGAGTGAGGGGGGTGAGGAGGGGACCTGCTTTCAAGTTGAAGCCAACAGGATTTGCTACCAGATTGGATGTGGCTGGGGAAAGGGAGAAATTGGAGTTGACCCCAGGGCTTGTGGCCTGAGCAACTAGAAGAAGGGGGTACTTTTTTGCTGGATCTGGGTGGAAGACTCAAGTTCAGTTTCCCCATGTCAGTTTGAGATGCTCTTGTTATAGCTCAAGGGTATTTAAATAGTGTTGATAACCTCATTTAGACAAAAAAATCAAGTGTGTTAGTAAACACTGATGGGGTGCTAACTTAAGTATTTACAGCTCTAGCACCTTGGACTCAAGTCATATTTTATAATCCCAGTTGAGTATCTAAGAGGCATCTCAAACTAATGCAAGACTCTAAGTGATGGTGGTATTTGTGAGCTCTTCCTGTCCTGTCTGTGTGACTTGCTCAAGAAAGGGCAGCTCAAGTTTGGGGAAGGGAAAGTTAGTTCCTTTGGCCCTAACAGCAGTGTGCTTTCCCTGGTGCAGAGCTAGATTTCATCATTGGCTGTGATGCTGCCCAGAAGTTCTCTAAATAGAGAGGTGACCTCTCTCCCAGGCTTTTGCAACAGCAAGTGAAACTTTCTGCTTGGGTTAGAATTAGCTTCCTAGTGGGTACTCCATTGGCTCTGCCTGGCCATAGCTTAAACTTCTGGCAAAGTGGGGCCCAAGTCTGAAGCTTCATTCAGTGGCAGGATTGGTTGGGAGCCAAGAAGTCTTTTGTTCCTGCTTCCAAAGTTGGCTAATTTTCCTTTGGCAATTTAGGAAGAGTTGACTCACATGGAAATGTGGTTGGAACTGTACTTATGTCAACTTAAATACAGTTTGATGTTCCTTTTTATATTTCATGAGGTACAGACCTATTTCTCTGTTCTCTGGAAAGAGAGAATTTTCTTCCATAACCCTTTGACAAAGCTGGGGAATTTTGACCTGCTTAGGAGGTTAGTGGTCAGAGAATTGAGTTCATCTGATTTTTTTTTCCTAAACAGTTTAACAATACTTGAACTTTTTTTTTGGTAAAGAATAAACTACTATAAATTTTTAATTTTTACTATTTAGGCAAATTTCCTAAAATGATATATATGTAGCACATTTTATATCATAACTTTGTATCCAGGTTTATAATCCCTTTAAATTAGGGAAACATAAGATTTTAAGACTGAGACTTAACTAACTATAGAGCACTTGAAGGTTATGGCTAAGTTCTGGCAACTCTCTCACTTCTATCAACACTGGTAAGTTCTTTGCTCCGGTGAACCTCTTTATCTGTTCATAATAACAGATAAAGGGGGGTCTGTTAACATATCTCCACTCTGGGACATTATCTGATTGTTCTTAGATTTGTTCCTTTGCTTTAAAAGCTAAATGGTTTTGATTTTTATTGTTAGTATCCTTTGTATATTACTACAAAGAGAACCTAACAACCATCGTTAGCATAGAAACAGAACTGTTATGGGAAGCAGAACTATTTACATGCTGATCATGTAATTAAAAAATGCTAAATTCAGTGTGAGGTCTTAGTTATGTTCATTTGTCGGTATCACAGACATTTCATGTTTATTGTGAACCCTCAGCATCTTACCAGGTGCCATTGGTGAAGGGATTCCATCAACAAGGAAAATATGTTCCCTCTCTCAGGTGCCTTACAATTTTTTGAATTCTACAAAGATAAATGTCAGTTTAGTTAATTACATTCAGAACTAATGCTAGTTCCTATTTCAAATCAGCAGTTAAAAGTATATAGACTTACTGCAATGTTTAAATATTTGTTTGGTTGATTATTTCCCAGAAGCCACTGCTTTTATTAATTATAAGATATTGACTTGAAATGGTATGCTTTCAGGAGAGTGATATCATCATGATCATTAGCTTTTAATTCACTTCGGCAGCTGGGTGTGGTGCAGCTTGTTGGAGGGGCCTGGCCCAGGGACGGGTGTCAACTGGGGAGAGAGAAGGTGGCCTGAGGCAGTTAAGCAGGGGCAGGCGGAGTCTTGCGGAGAGCCTGAGGGTGTGTGGACAGGCGCTGAGGGAGCCCTTAATTAGCTACACTGTACAGAACAGTTCAAAATGAAGATTCTTACCTGGGTCTGGATATTGTCTTTTATGCCCATAGTCTGTCTGTCTCCCCAGATGATTTTAAAGTAGCTTTTCTAGGTGAAACAAAGAACTGTAGATCAGTTATCTGCTTACTTTCTTGGAAATCATGACTTTGGGGCAGGGGACATTCTAGTTCAAATCTGAGTGACATTTGTCTGAAATATTGTAAAACCTCTGATTTCTGGTCTTGGCTTATTTTCAGTAGCATCTGAGTTAACCAGTTTCATGTGTTTATTGGTTTTCTTAAATGGACCGATGTCTGAACCGTGGGGATGATTTGAATAAACTCCTAAGCATTTGTCATTGTTATTAGGGAATCTGGACAGAGAAGCCCGTGCTCTGTCACAGTCTTCCATATGCAGTAAGATAATATCTTCAGTATGGAAGGGAGGCAGTATTTGAAATCGTCCTTGCAAGTGACTGTGTGTTCAATAAGCTTGGAGGATTTTCATCTCTTTTTATGCCCTGTATTTTTAGCACCTGAAGTTCTTTTTTTGAGACAGAGTCTCAAGGTGTTGCCCTTGGTAGAGTGCTGTGGCGTCACAGCTCACAGCAACCTCAAACTCTTGGGCTTAAGCAATTCTCTTGCCTCAGCTTCCCAAGTAGTTGGGACTACAGGTGCCCACCACAGCGCCCCGCTATTTTTTGGTTGTAGTTGTTGTTTGGCAGGCCGGGGCTGGATTTGAACCTGCCAGCCCTGGTGTATGTGGCTGACGCTCTAGCTGCTTGAGCTACAGGTGCTGAGCTGGCACCTGAAGTTTTTGACCTGGTAAAGCTCTAGTTCTCTGATCTAAAAGCCCCTCTGTTCTCTTCAGAGAGTGATTGATTGCCTGGAAGATGAGAAGGAGAACCTCACCTTGGCCATGGCTGACCGGCTGCAAGACTATCAGGAGCTCCTGCGGGTGAAGACTGGCCTCAGCCTGGAGGTGGCCACTTACCGGTAAGGATGCTGTGCAGAGTCAGCCTTGAAGCCAGGGGCATAAAATCACCCTCTGGGGAGTTCCTGTGGCCTTGTGACAAGCAGAGAGCAGGTCTTGGCATGGCCAGGCAAGAAGTCCAGAGCCCAGAGGAGGAAGAGTAGGGCCTTGCTCAGACCACCCAGCAGTTATCCCCTTACACCTTGCACCCTTAGCTGCCTTGTGTGTGTTCTGGGCCCCAGTTCAGAGCTTTAACATGTCAACACATTGGATCCCAGAAACTAGAAACTGTTGACAGATGAACAAGCCTTGCTCAGAGAAGTTACAAAGCTAGAAGGTAGAGGGACAGGAATTGGGCCCAGGAAGTCTTTGTCTGCCTATTCTACTGTGCTTCAAATCCCAGGCTCTGATGCCACCCTGCATGGGTTTGGCCTTGAAACACTGCATTTCTGCCAAGAGATTGGCATGGTGCTTTAGGGCAACTGGCTTTGTTTATCTAGATATTGAACAACCACATGAAAAGGAGACAAAGCACTCAAAGGGGTTAGGTGCTGGGCAGGGCAGAGAAAACAATCAGGTCCTCTGCGCAGGAATTTTTAGAGCCTAGGATTTCCCACTTGAAAGAAAGATTATAATTGCTAACATTACAGAGTACTTAATTCTTTGCTGTTGGTCTCTGTTCTCAGTCACCCTCTGAGGTGGGCACCACTTACCACTTTTATAGTTGAAGATCTGGATTGTAGGCTGGTGAGGAACAGACCCAGCTGGAACTGGCTCCAGACCTGTGTCTTACCTACCAAGCCATGTGAAAAGGGCACTGTGGCTGCTTTGTTCCTAGGGTGGTTGTGAGCATAAGTCTCAGAAGGGGTGAGCATGCTTGGGAGACTGCATCCGCAGAGAGTAGAAGGCATGCCGGTGAATGCTATGTTCCAGTGGCACTGTCCTCAACAGGTGAGGGAGTTGGACCTGGAGAGGATAAGAAGGAGATCAGCTCCCCTGGGTAGGGACGGGGGAGGGACAGAGTCCAGGCCTAATTTAGCACCCCTTGTAGGTTGCCTGTACAATCTTCTGATTGTGATTTTTGTTCTAAGAATATCAGAGTGCCCTGGGTTGCTTTGATGTCCATTAGACTAACGGCTGGTGCATTAGTTCACTTTGCTGCCTTAGGCTGGCCTCACTGTTTTTATTGTATAGAAGCCTTGCATCAGCCAGGATTAATGACAGTGCTTATGACTATCAGTGAAGAGGGAGCCTGGGCCCAGGGAAGCTGCTAAGAGGTGGTTAGGGCCCAGCCAGCAGGGGCTTTTCTGGATCCCTGATTGAGAGCCAAGCTCTGGCTGAGTTCTCCAGAGAGGACTGGTGGTCAGGGTTTGGGGAGAGAGAGGAGAGGACACATCAGCTCCTTGGTCCTTCCAAAGGTTTATCCCTGGCATTCTCCTTGGAAATCTCATGGGGGAACAATGGCAAAATTAAATTCGTAGGTTATTGAATCACATGCTCAGTTATATGATCTAAACTTTACTGATAAGGAAAATTTGAAAACATTCAGACTTTATTTGGGGCAAGAAAATATTAATCAGGATTTTTGTTCATTCAAGTGAAGGAAACTCTTCTCAGACTGATTCATGTCAAAAAAGGAGTTTATTACCCAGACACATGACGGAGTCCTTAGTTTCGGGCACAGTTGGTCCAGATGGCTACAGGAGGTTGGCAGCCATCTGTCCTTGCTTCCTGTAGTCTCTTTCTTCTGGGCTCTTCTCAGCCTGTGACTGCATGGGCCCCTGAGTAGCTCTAGCCTTAGGGCCACTCAGCCATGTCCCCTTATTCGAAGGAGAGAGCCTCTTCCCAGAAATCCCATTGGAGCTCCAGGGCCCAGCTCTCTGGTTCTGTTGGGTCATGTGCCTATCTGGGAGCCCATCCTTGGCCAGAGGGATAAAGTTCTCTAGAGCATGTGCAGGGGACTGGAGGGTGGGGGACAGCTTCTTGTTAGTCACATAGATTGAGGCTAGGGTGGGAGCAACCCCAAAGTGGGTGCTGTTCTGGAACAGCTTCCAGGCAGGCCCAGAAAGCTGAGTTCTGCTTCTGTATCAGGCACCTGATGTCCAGTGAGTCCATCCCTGCAGAGGCTGTTAGTTTTTTCCATTTCCTTTCCATAATTGGGTTGGAATTTATTTTATGTTTTGTTTCTCTGGGACTTTGAACCCTTTCCTTTCCCCCTTTGCCCTACCCCCTGTTCTCTGTCCTGAAAAGGCAGACTGCATGGTGGGCATCACACCCAGGAGTCCAGGGCCTGCCTGTGTTTCCAACCCCTCCAGCTTAGCTGTCAGGGGCAGTGAGCCTGAGCCGTTTGTGTTCACTGTCAGCCGAGTTTATTGCTTCTGTCCGTCTCTGGCATCTCCCTAACCCAGTTATGGCCTGACTTGGCCGGAGGAATTTAGGACCCATCATTGCTTTCAGGGGAGTGAGTGATTTCAATGTGCCTCTTTCTGCTGCCTGAGGTTGTACAGGGAAACTGAGGCTGCCTTTGGGAGCATGCACACCTACCCTGCTCAACCTCAGGGGCTGGCTGGGATCACTGTATTCCCTCCCAGCCCCTGTCTGCCAGTGCTGCAGGTGTAGTCTGGGAGATGCCCATAGATGAGAAGACATACACAGTTGAACAGAACCAATTTAGTTGTATATAAACCAGAGACCTATCATTCTTTTAATCACCAGCGAATGCCTTGAAGATAAGTCCTGATGTGACTCTTTTCAGTATAGTGTGTGCTGCTGGTGCTCACTGTCTGAGGAAAGTGTGAAAATGCGTGGCTGTGTCAGTGCACTGTCACTGTTCAGACCCTTGATCTTTCACCACAGATGATGTTTGTTTACAAAGCTTGACCCACAGTGGTTGGCCATTGTTACCTAAACTGCTTAGTTGACCATCAGATTTAACATCTGATATCTAAGAGAGAGGACTATGGCTTTTTAATGCTGAAGGCACATTTTGCTGAAATTTCTGAGTCTAGTTCTCAAGAGTCCAGAACACTTCCCAACCCAGAAGTTGGCCCTTCCTGGTGACCCTCTAAGGCAGCGGTTCTCAACCTGTGGGTCACAACCCCTTTGTAACAGTGAAAATACATTGGGGCATTAGGAAGGTTGAGAATCACTGGTCTAAGGAGAAATATTAAAGTAATCATAAAATAATATAATTGTATACTTACAGTTTTCAAATATATACTTGTAATTTATCAATAAGTATATAAATATATAAATAAATATTAAACGATTTTAAATTGCACATAAACTTTATGGATACTCTGTATAGCTGAATAAACATAAGATAAAACTGAAATAAAGCAAACCCGAGAGAGTCCAAGGCAGAGGCTGGTCTCACTGATCAGCCGATTTGTGGCCAGGGAAGATGCTGGCCCCTCACCTGGCAGGAAAAGATGCGAATGAGACTTTCAGGTACCAGAGGACAGGCAGCACTGTCCCTACCCCTTTCTTCTGGGGTCATGACTCCAGCAGGAGTCATGGGGCTGAGCGTGGGTCGAGGGTACAGAGAGAAGAGGAGACATGCCCCTGCAGGGTGTAGTGGGGGACTGGAGGTGCTTGTCCATCTGATGTGTGATCGTCAGGTCTTTCCTAGAGCATTTACTGCACTGGCCCTGAGTGATTAGAGGGGAGAGGCTCAGATACAGTGCAGGGTCATTCTCAGCCTGGGCTGTACTTGGCAATCTCTCAGTGCTAGAGATTCTGACTGGATTAGAGTGGGGAGGCCTCATGCACGGTGGTTTTAAACCTCCTTGGATGACCAGTGTAAAGAACCACTGGCCCTCACTGCTTGCAGGGTGTTGGTATCATGAGACATTGTAAGCCTGTTGGAAATGCAGAGTCTCACCTGGACCTTCTGGATTTTGGGTGATGTACTGTGTGCACACTCCTGTCTGCAGTGGGCCTACAGCCACCTGCTCAGCACAAGGCCTGTCTCAGTGCAGCCTAGAGGACAATTCAAAGGATGAATTACTGTAGGATAGAGAAAGAAATCCGGATGGTACTCAAGTTTACACGTGTCAGTCTTGTCTGTAGTCTTGTGTGGCTGTCGCTGTAGGGCTACATCTGACCTCCCTAAAGTGACAGAATCCTGTGAAGCCACCTGGAGAGAACACACTTCAGAGAAAGTAGTGACTTGGGTTGGACAGAACTAGGAATCCTGAATACCCCAGAGATGTTCATTCCTTTAAATCTTACTTTATAGAATTGTGTCAAAATAGTCTGTCTAGTTCTTCCTGACATTTTGTTATGAACATTTCAAACATAAGAGAAGTTGAAAGAATTGTAACCACTCTTATATCCATCAGCATGAACATTTTACTGAATTTGCTTTATCTCATGACTGTCAGCCTTGGTATCATCACCATCTTATTTTCTGGTGCATTCCAAAATAGCTGCCCATACCTCTGGCTGTTAATGGACAGCAAATGATGACAGCTGCCCTGGGCTTAGCACTTACCATGTGCTAAGTGCTTTGTAGACAGACTCTCCAATTTTTATAACTTCATCAAAGAGGTATATTTTGTATGTGTTGTAATTCAAGCTCAAGGAGGCTGTGATAAAGATCACACAGCTAGTATGTAGAGAGGCTAAGATTTGAACCTCAGGCCTTAAGTCAAGGCTTTCCCCCTTCATGCCCTGCTGACTGCCGAGTTAGACAGAAAGGAACCAGTGTACTGGGACACTGTGCGCAGAAGATGGTGGAGATGCTTAGCTCTGGGATAGTGATGTGCTAGGTTCATTGGAAAGTTGACCAAGCATGCAGGGAGGGCTTCCTAGAATAGGCAGCGCTCACAGGAAGGGAAGCAAAGCCAGGAAACAACCGTGTGGGAAGGGCTTTTCAGGTAGTGGGAGGAATAGCCTGGATGAGGCTCTGAGGACTGATTTGTGGCCATTTGTGACATTTGGGTGTCCCTGTTCAGTTTTGGAGGCCTGCCATGTAAGGAAATGTGAAAAATGGGCAAGAGCCATAGCTGAGAAGCCTTGA